AAATAGTCTCGCTCATAGCACCGATTGATCTTCTACTACTGGTTGGGATTAAAAGAAGCCTTCCTAAAAGGCTACGGGCTTTGGCGGGAACCAGAAATGAGCTCCAGGCCATAGGCATGCTTCGTCGGGGCATCGGCGGGCTTCATCGGGCCATCGGCTTCCCTGGCCGGCGGCCAGACGCAGCAGCAGGTCCAAGACGAGGGCGGGATCGACCGTGTGCGCCGGCTGCTCGAGGTCCAGCACCTGCAGCCTCAGCGTGGTGCGCTCGACGCGCGCCGACCGCGCCCAGCCGAGGACCATGGTGTTCTCGGGCGTGGTGCCGGCCCTCGCGCCCTCGGTGACCCAGAGGAGCGCGCCGGCCTGGCGCATGACCTCCTGCAGGCCCTGGAAGCGGCGCTGGTCGAGGCCGCGGAACACGGGCGCGTCGAGGTCGCAGAGGTTGAGGACGACGGCGCCGGCCGGCACGCGGATGGCCTCGAGCCCGGAGACGGTCGTGACGGTGGCCAGCGGCGCCAGCTTCTGGGCCATGCGGGAGGCGAGCGTCGTGACGGCGTCGCTGGGGGACGGGTCGTGGACCAGCAGAACCTCGGCGCCCAGGTGGTGCACGGCGCTCGCGGGATGGCGCAGGGCCGCGACGCCGGGGTCGACGGCCTGGGCCAGCATGACGCTGCAGAAGGACGGCGTCGAGGCGGCGTCGACGCCCGAGAAGCCGGCCTCCTTCAGCAGCCCGTCGCACGCGGCCACGCTGACAATCTGCGGCGCGCCGCCGTCTCTCTCGAGCCACGAGCCCGGGAGCAGCGACTGGACGAGACGCACGGGCAGGCGGTCGGCCGTGGCGGCGACGAGCACGAGGAAGCCGCCGGGACGGAGGAGCCTGCGGGCGTGGGCCAGCGTCTCGCGGCGGAGGGAGGTCGAGTACGAGGTGGCGGCGATGGCCAGGTCGTAGGCGCCCTCGGCGAAGCCCTGGCGCACGGGGTCCTTGTCCATGTCGAGCAGATGGACAACGAGCTTCTGACCTCATCACGCTCGTTCCGCTCTGACCGCCTTTGGTCTTCTTCCTCTGATAATATGGCTTGGTGCTCTGCCTGGCATATTTTGTCTTCAGTGTAACGAATATTAACATTTCGACAAAGTATTT